GCAAAAAGTTCTACCTGCCCTAGACTATATTTATTCTGACACTCTTGGAATCTTATTATATAATTAAGGCGGTCAAAATACATTAGCCACCTTAACTCTGATTAATAAATTAATATAAATTATTTTGAATATATTTAGATAGAGAGATAGATATTCAATATAATTTTTATTTATATCACTGCACTGGTTAAGATAAAATTAATATTGTAAATGATTGGTTATCGAAGCAACGGTAGGCAAGGCATACCTCTGACAACTGATATCTCAGAAAATATGGACGCTTGATGTAAATGAATATTAATTTTATCAAATTATTTTTGACAGCTAAAATTCTAAATCTGAAATTAACTAACCACTAACCACTAAAACTGCTGTAAACTGATTAAGGTGAAGTACTTTGCAGTGATTTAATGCATGTTAGAACAATTTGAATATGGAATCATACATTAAATTGGACTGGAGTTAACTCTTGGTAAACGTTGAAACTAAGAAGGATATGGAAAGATACTGTAAGGAATATTGCATCACCTGCCGGAATTCGTTGCGCGCGGATTGCGTCATCTGCCGGCGCCCCTTCCCTTCCCCCCGAAATAGACGGTTCCGGACTATTCGCGAGCCGCGGGGAAACGCCGAAAATGTGCCGGGTGCCTGGAGAGGCCGGGCAGGTATAAATGCCCCGCTGCCGGCTGCCGCGAATCAGTGGGTAGTAAGACGTCAGTGAGTAGTGAGAAGTAGCAGTCAGTCCGTCAGTGTGTCCGAAGTGGAAGCTGTGCTGTGAAGTGTGCATTTCGGTGAACAGTGGTGCAGTGGGTGAACAGCAGTCAGCAGTCTGAAGTCTGCAGTGGAAGCTGAGCTGTGAAGGGTGCATCGTGCTAAACAGCAGTGCAGTGAACCCTGGAGTGCGCAGGGAATTGTGGTCTGCGCAGGGAATTGGGTCAGTGCAGTGGACCGTGGACAGAGCATCGGACTGGGTGATACTGTAGAAGAAGAGTACGGTGTAAATAAATAGTGTGTAAGAAGTGAACTGTGTAAATAAATCATCAAGAGAATGGAATCGTGTGTAAAGAAAAATAATTAAGAGTAATATATCTGTAAATAGACCAAGTAGATTTTAGTGTATAATTGTTCACGAATAAACGTTTTTGCTTAAATAATACCAGTGAGTTTTGATTCACCACGAGAAACGTTACAATACATTGCATATTCCTTTGAAGGGTCAGGAAGTTCTTCATCTAGTATTGAAAATACAGTTTTGTCTTTTGTTCGCGTTATTTCAAAATTGTTTGGTGATGTGAAGTGGAAACAGATTCAGATTCTTCAGATTTTTTCCTTCAAACACCATATTTATTTATTTAATGGCAAAAACAGTGAAAAACTGTGTGTGACGTACTTTCAGGGCATGTGTTTTTTGGGTACCTTTTCTTAAATTCTAGGATTCCTACCCTAACCCATATAAAAGTTGAGTTCTGAATACACATGGAAATGAGCGTTTTTGGCAAGAACTGACTATAAAATATTCGCTTCCGTGTAATGAACACATCAGCTATAGATTTGAACTAGTATTCCTCATCGTGGCCATTGTGAAGGAATCGCATTAGTATTGCGAGAACATGAACACAACTACATTCCTACTAAAATCTAGAAAATGCACATATAGTGAAAAATAACATTTATGCTCACAAGCAAAAGTAGGATAATTTCAGCATTCGCTCAAATAAACAGGGAAACTCAGCGAAAAACCTGACAGAGATAGGGTCATTGACCCAGAATGTACAATACTTGTTACAGGTTGTTTAGAATTATACAGATCAAATGTATTAATACAGACTATTTTTAGTAAATTATGCATGCATGCTCATAATATATTTTGAGAAATTTTCTTTAAAATTTGGGAGTACTTTACATAGGGCCCTGGGGCATTTTTTTTTTAAACGGCTATAATTTTTTTTTTTTAATTTCTTGTATGATTTGGGTAAAATACGCTTATATAAGCTCGATTTACACAGATTTTTTGCAAATTGCAATACTTTGAATATTTTTCGACCTCTATCTACAACTAGAAAATTGAAGATAAAGATGTTTCCTCCAAATGAAATTTGTTGTTCACAATTAGTTCTAGCGCATAAACGCCATTCTCTTAAAAACAGCTCCAATTTTTTGGAATAAATTTGGCATTTAGAACGAGGTATTACTGTTCTTTAATATTCTTAAAATAATTTTTCCGTTCTACTATAAGGAAACCAAAAAATTAAGAAAATGTTTAAAAAATGTACTTTGAGCGGTGATAGATGGCAGCTGACAAGAGTATGTGAAAAGCTAGCCGAGACCAAAGGAAATAGAAAATTAATAGGAAAAGTCTGTGCCATTCCTGCACCACTGCATTCTGCACCACTAGTTTTCTCTGCCAAAGCCGCTTACCACTTCTTTCCTCAGCAGCAGTCGTCGCTGCATGGGAGCCAATTATCGCCGTCACTGGGAAATGTCTTGTAATGAGAGCTAGTGTTTCAGGACGTCCTGGAACTAAAGTTAGCTGTCGTTCCACTGTGAAAAAGTTTTCCCGCGGTATCAGAGACGGTTAAATTGCACGTCTTCAGTAGCAAATATTATATTGAATTGTATTTTTTATATAACAATTATTTTTAATACAATTTATTACTCTGTACAGATACAGCTCATACAGACAGAATACTACACATGATTACATGGGCAGTGCCATGTGAGACTCGCACGTCCAGCAACAGAGAGAAGCATGGACCGGAAACGCCACAACAACACTGAGAGTACCCGCTGCGAGAGTACTAGTCCTGATGCGGGTTTTATTCCACACCTCCTGCACCGCCTCACGCAGAGCAGGTAGAAGTGTTCCGGGAGTCGCACATTTATTTTGACAAATTATGTATTCATGCTTTAGTTTTTAAGTTGTCGTATGATTTGTTGTACTTTGTATACATTGTCTTTTGATTGTGGTTGCTAACGACCTTGTGAGGAAAATAGTACACGTGAGACTGAAGGAAAAAGCAAAGAGTGAAAAAATTGGTAAATAGCGGTTTAAAGGATTTAGCAGCAAGGGCCTAGCAACTAAAATGGAAATGGTATGGTCACGTGGCAAGATAATTAGATGACAGATGGATATATGTGTTAAGAAACCATTTTATCGTTTTATTTGATTAATGTCTCTCCTAGGTTAGTGTCAATCCAAGTTTTCCGTGGTTTCTTCGATCAATACCAGGCGAATGCCGCAGCAGCACACTAACAAACGGGCCACGGTCCGCGTGCGATTTTTTTCTACCTCTTCCTTGTCCTACCCTCTCCCCTTACATACACACACTTAGACTAGCACGCGCTACACAACCACAAATGCCGGGAGACCAGACGGAGGCTTAGAGCTTGTCCCGGTTGGGGCGGTTCCCCGCTGGTAGTAGATACCTGGTTGGGAAAACTCCGCTAGCCGACGGTAGGTCGGCGCCGGATCTCGCCACACAGCGAGGAAAAGAACACCGCCACCTCCCGAGCAAAAACATGCACTATACGTACGGGATTAAATACTGTTAATTGACGTGCCCGGAATCACTAAAATAATCAATCAATCAAATACTGTCAATCTCCTTTGATTTGTCACTCATTCTCTTGCTCATGGAAATCACTTTCCGTCCTCGCCCAACCGAACGTACAAGCAAAACGTGCTTCAAACGACAAATCACATTTAGAGATTTCGGCACTCGCAAGAAGGAGTTTGCAAATGACTTCATCGGCTTCTCGCACGCGACGTGCTCAGAGGGCAGTTGACAGGGCCCACAGAGTGGAAGCATGACTTACAAATTTCACGAGATCGCTGGGTATGGGCGAAGGAAGAGCGTTATTATTTCATTGAGACATATACTAAAACCGACTTTCTTACCAGAAACACAATTTCATCTCCCTTGCTGTGACTGAAAACGCCACTGTTGCGGTTGCGATTGTAGACGCCACTGTTCTAACACATCTGACAAGGTTCCCTTTTCCAAGAAAATACGGAATCGACAGTATCCCCAAGGCGCACTCTACCGCTTCTTATTCCAGTTCAAAAACGCTTCAGGTGGTTGCATACTACAGGGAAATTTACAAAATGTGCCTGACTGCTCGCTAAGGGACCAGATGGCCGCTTAAAAGAGGGAATTTTAGCCCCATCTCACTCACTCACTCACTCACCCATCCGCCTCGTCCGAATCGCTGGTCCCGCCCAACCTGATGCACAGTACTAATAAATGTCAGCATGTAAGCAAATGGGTAATATATCGGAATTGCGAATCTCCTATTTTTTCTGCTGCTTAATCTCTTCGAACATAATTTGAAAGTGATCGTTCCGGTGGTTCGAAATATTTTGTGAATAATACACTGTGTGTAACACAGAGTGTATTAAGTAATACCCAGGCTAACATAGTCAGTTTCATATTTTATATTTATTATTGCAATATATTACGCTATAAATACCAAAATCCTTAAGGTAATTGTGCCTATAAATATTGCATAGGTAAAATGAATGGGAAAATAATTATACATTTTTTACCGAGATATAAAGTTAGGATAACTAACCTGTGTACTATAATCCTAAATTCATACTATAGGTTGTTGTATGTTCTGATTTTGAATATTGAAACTATTCAGATGAAATATGTTCTATGTTATATTATCAAAGATATGTCAATGTTTTTGTTACAAATCACACCACTAACATTAAAATCCTCTATAAAAATATACAAAAAAGGAAAGTAGTTTATAACACAAAAATCAAGCAATAATTCACACACGAAACATGCTATTATGTCTTCAAATGTAAATTCTTTACTGTTTGTTCAAGTACCTATCAGAAGAACTCCAAAGAAAATGTTATAAATCGATATAAAAGAATAACAATCGATAGTTCATTATGATACGTGGTTGCCATGGACAACCATATCAATATTCGGAAGCTGTAAGTTAAGACCGGTTAAGTTATCAGACCGGAACAAAATTTTAAAGTAATGGCTAATCATATTCCTAACTTTCGCCGATATGTATCAATTCATCAAATGGCTTTGGGTAAGTACGAGAAAACTGCAGTTGTGAAGGAAATCTTATATCTATGTGTTCACAAAACAACCTTTTCACCAACATGTCTGTCACATGCAAATCAACTAGTCGTTTTTACAGAACGCTACAGACTTGAGCAAGAAAGGCGGCACCGCAAGCGCATGAGTGCAGCAATAGTTTTGGGGTTTTGCCTCCTATTGTGGTTATTGATGCTACAGACATTGCGTGTAATGTTTGCATTCTTGGCTATGAGCTATTAATTCGGACATCTGAAAGGTACGTGGAACACTGTATTTTGTAACTAATGTTCACATTTTTGTAAATGTTATTTGAATTGAGATACTTTTACTAAAGAGGATAGTAATGAATAAGATGATGTCTTATTAATTTCATTGATGGATGGCAATCATAACATACAAAAAGAAAGTAATCATGCAAAGGATTTTCTAATTGTTTTAAAAGATGAGAGAGAGGTTAATGTGCATTGGATTTTTTCACACGATATTCATTTCTGATGTTATTTAGTTTCAAGAAAGTGTTTCGTTCAATGTGTTATTACTGTTTCTCACACGATTTATTGGAAATATGTTTGTCAATCATTTACATTTACTGGAACATGCACCTACAACATTTCAGTACTTAAGTGTCAGTTTTAGTCAACCTGAAAATAACAGGCCCGATTGATTCTGAGATTAAATATATTTCTCTACATGCGGGGTGCAGTCTGTTTCATATTCCATTGGTTCCATGGAGTTTCCAATCAACCGGCTACGTAACCCAAAATATATTTTGGTACGTTGAAACATAAAAAGAGCACATTTTCATTACCGAGTATAATTTTATTACCTGTAATTACCAACTCGGAAACTACAATTTTAAGGTTATCATATTTTTACAGAAATCATAATCGCTATTAAAATTAGTACAATGAAAATATTGCATACCACTTATATAACAAATGAATACCGTGAAATAATGATGTTAATATCAGGTCGTGTTGTATTTCTCACAAAATTTGTCAGACAAATGAGCAATAAATACGTCGTTATATTCGTTGTCCGACATTGATGTTCAATAATAATCGATAGGAATGCAATAAACTTAAATCAGTACGGCCGAAGCAGCTTGTACTCTGTACGTTTTGCGACGGTCTCCTATTCTATCCAGACCAATATTTTTCAGATAGACTAATACATCTGATTTTTATTAAGTTAAACCATTAAAATTCAATTATGAATTAATATAAAATATAATTAGTAAGTGAATATATCATGAACACAATTTGATGCTTAACTTTGTATACTGTGTGAAAAAATTATTTAACAGATTATTTTTAAATATGAGTGTTATTAGTTCAAAATTTTGTTTTAAGTTATTCGGTCCCTTGTTAAATTTAAATAATGCTGTGCCGCAGATTTCAAAAGACTTTTTAATTATAACAAGACCCCGAATGAAGTAAAACAAAATATTGAAATCATTATTTATAATATATATTATAACACTATATCATTGTAACATGGCTATTAATTAAGAAAGCCAAGCGTTTTCATTGCTTTTGGAAACGAAATCTTCAGACTTTTTAGCATTGTTTGTGAGACCAAGAGAAATCAATTGTAAAATAAATAAAAGTTACCAACATTTTAATGTCTCCAATGCTTCTATGAGTGATGAATTGCATATAATAGTCAAGACTCAAGATAATCAGTGATAACCAATAGAAGTATTATCAGGATCTCCGTATTGTCAGGAATCATTTTCAGTTTTATTTCAATCTCATCAATCTATTTGGATTTAACATAGTCTAGTGGAAAAAACTGTGTAAAGTACTGTGCGATGCAAGTGCAGTCTCTGTGTGTTTTCTAATGTTTGCAATCTGTGCACTCATACTGATGTGAAATATTACAAATAAACAAATTGATATCTGTGAGGCCCATCTAAAATGTATGATTTCTTTGGTCATGAACAAAAAGAATACAGAATTTTATGAAAAACAAGTGGGTAATTTTTCTTCCCCTATGTAGTAAGTAAGTTTCTCTAATACTGTGTAGTCAGAATGTAGAGTTTTTATGTCCCTGATACTATAAATTTTTTTCAGAAGAAAAAACGTTTCAAAATTGTAATTTTGCAATTTTAAAAAATGCAGAGAGTTCATCGGAAAGGAGACTGCGTCATATTTAAAAGCGTATATTGCTCTAGTAGAGAAAATTAAAAATAAAATTTTTGCAGCCGTTTTTGAGAAAATAATGCTTTTAAAATAGTCTATAGTTTACATTTCAAATTACTCTTATTATCGACAAATTGTACATGGTCTTATTAAAAGATATATTTATGAAAAATATATTTCATGAAGAAAAACCTCTCAATCTTTAATCCAGCAGCTGTTGGAAATGCCGAAAAAGTTCAATTGCAATTTTTGGAAAATTCAAAGTTCAACGAAAATTAGACCAAGAATATTTTTTGCCGTACTCTACTCTATCGGGGGAAAAATAACAAATTTAGAGCCATTTTGAAACTTTTGTTTAAGTTTCATGTAAATTATTTCCATTTTTTTTTCAAATTCGCAGTGCTTCATTTCCGGCCAGATCGTTTGGGAAAATCAATTATGGAGAAAATTACCTGACGGTTTAGGCTCTAATGTTGACCACGGACTGACAGATGGTTTGCCGTAATCCAATTTTCCGGTATCAGGGATCTATAAAACGCAAATTCTGATTATACAACCGAATAGTTGAACTAATTAGTTAAATTTAGGAGAATTTATTCTCATTTATCGATATCAAGGACACACAACAGGAGTTTGTCGAAAAATCGCCACTTACCGATGCAGCATTACAATTGTTTTCTTTATTCGTACGAAGTAGACGGGAAAGTAAAATATCTGTTTTAATCACCTTACACCGTCAGCAGTAAAGAGACATTAATGTAATGTCTAGGCGAAAATTGGGATTTTTCGACAGAATATTTTTTTGACTTTTTTCTCAGGTAGATAACACTTTAAAAAATCATGCAAGTCTCATTTCTGTTTAACTCTCGTTTTTTTCTTTTTAATTGCAAAAGTTTAAAATATTTTCGTTGTTTTGCTATAAGTAAAATATTGAAGAGAGAGATTTTGTTTCAAGACATATCTTCAAACATGGTCAGGCATATTTTCCGAAATTATGAGTAATTTCAGCTTTAAATATTCGCAATTTTTAAACAATTACTGTCTCGAGAGGCTCCATTTTTTCATTAAACATTCTTCTCGTATGTGATTGTTAATATTTTTTTTAATCTGCAAAAATTCTCCAATTTTTTTCTTCACACGCTTTTCTTGAATTTGAGCAAAGGTCGCTTAAGGTGGTCAGTGCGAGATAAGTGTAATGTTTAACATGCCTTTTTTATTCTTTTAATCGAAAGATGGTGGGTTTTTCTATGTTCTGGTAGCGTTTGAATCGATTTTACCGTCTAGTTTTCGCGGAACGAGGCCGTAAAGTTAGCTTTTTTAACACGGGCTGTTATGGTGACCTGACAGATCTGACCTGAAATTTTAAATTTGTGAGAAAATTAACTGTTGAACATGTTTCTAAAAACTCTTCTTTTGGTAGTTAGCATCTCAAAGAACAGATATGCGCAATTTGAAGGAAATCTACCGTTTCAAATGAGAAAATTTTGCAAAATTATAAGCCTAAGGGATTATCAGTCCAAAGGGAGACGTTCGCGCGCTTTCTAGATGTGGGGACTGTGACGCGCATCTCGACAACACCGCGCGCGCAACCCGCTTCATTGAAAACGAGTGACAAGACCTTGGAGGAAGAGTTCGTACATTCCTCTGGATCTTCTGGGAGAAATTAAAATATAAAATATCCTCACTCCTGGAGAACATTGCGTTTGATAGCAACCAGATATTCAGAAAAGGTGGAATTTCATGGATTTATTGGTTAGTGCGATCTGAATGAAAATCATAATTCAATTAATATTCCAAATGAATTTCTTTGATACTACTGTTTATGAGAAAATGGGTGATCTTGAGAATTGATAGATTTTTTTAAACCTTCAGTACAGTATTATTATTTTGTATTATGCCGTATGTCAGTTTTTGCACCTGAACAATGATTATTTATTCAAATATTTGAAAATTATTCATATTCTCCTTTTATTATGGAGATACACAGTGGACTGCCATTGTCTTCTGCACCACAGTTGCTTACGCAGGCCTCACAGCAGCAATCTTTAGCATAGATCAGCACATCACAATGGAGAGCTACTGAGTGGGCATTCAATTCAGTAATTAATAGAAATTAATTAAAATTAATAGAGGCTTCAAATGTGTTGCAATGATAAAATACTGTTTTGCTGGTGCTAATATCAACCATTGTATAGATGAATGCAGAGCTCGATTTCCCCCTAGTAAAATTAGGCTTGGGACTCCCATCCCCGTGCCAGGATTTTTTAACATATATATTTAAAACTTCATAAAATGTGTTTATCTGAATAATCATTAATCAAATGGTTTACTGAACAACAATGTTTGATTTTAAAAATAAATTTAATGGAACTATAAGAAGCTAAACATATCTTTGTAAATGAGAAGTTTAAAAAGCAATTTCTACCTTGAAAGCAATTCGTTAATTTACATCTGTATTGGAACAATGATTTATTCTATCACAATTAGTTTTTTTTAGAGTTATTCATAATTAGTTTTAAAGATTTTTCTAAAGGAGTGCCGTGTATAGTTTTGTGCTTGAAGGCCTACAGTATCTAAATCTGCCAATGGGCAAATATGGCACATTGCAATTTGCAAAAATAGTTGTAAAATTTCAATTAAAACATTAGAAATGTTTCACACAGTTTAATTAACAAATCAAAAATAAAATAGGGGAAAATATATTGTGATGGGAAGGATAATAAGGAGCAGAAGAAGTCAATGATTACGATTTCTGTCAAGTTAAATATAAAGCTTTATACAATGTTGGAGAGAACCAAACCGTTGATCTTGCTGTTAAGCGATTGAATAATCTAAGGTTTGTCCTACCATTGGCTCAGGTAATACAAGAAATAAAAATTAGAGAGAAACAATAGACGACGATGAATAATAATATATGTTCTAACTTTGTATGAAAACAACATTCGTGTAATGTAATAATGTGTAACGTAATGAAATGAATCTGTAATATATTCAGAAGGTCGTTAGTGATTTCTCACAATTTCATGTTAAGCCTATATTTACAACTTTTTGCCTTTAATATTTGTTTTGTATTATATTTTCTAATTATTCATCAGTAATATTTTTTGTTTCT